AACTTATTTATTTATTTTTCCAAGGGGCATATCTATGGTGGCTGTTAGCGGCCATTCAAATGTCATCTAAATCGTCGCCTTATGAAGAAGGGGACAAGTCGACAAAATCAACCCGCCAACACGACAAAATAACCCGACGATCGTCGCCTTCATTTCGTCGACTTGTCGGATCAATTTTGTCGACTTGACGACTTGTCGCGTCCACTTATTGACAACCTGACAAGTCGACAAAATACAATTATTTCGACTTGTCGTGCGGCGACTTGTCGCCTCGGAAGTTAATCTGTGCGCATGCAAGCTCGGATTTGACTTCCGACGAAATGAAGGCGACGATCGTCGGGTCAATTCGTCGACTTGTCGACTCAATTCGTCGACTTGTCGGGTTGTGAATAAGTCGAAGGCGACAAGTCGACAGAATTGACCCGACAAGTCGACGAAATGAAGGCGACGATCGTCGGGTTATTCTGTCGTGTTGGCGGGTTGATTTTGTCGACTTGTCGCCTTCGACTTATTCACAACCCGATAAGTCGACAAGTCGTGTTGTCGAAGGCGACAAGTCGACAGAATTGACCCGACGAGTCGACGAAATGAAGGCGGGTTGATTTTGTCGACTCGTCGCATTCTTCACAATTAGAATGCGACGATTTAGATTCATTTGATTCGTTAGAACTAAGCCATGGCATGAAACGAATGTAGCAATACAGTCGTTGCGACATTGTTTTTAAATGTATAGACAAAGAATATAGAAATAAGATAGCTGTATATTTAATTAATTAATATCTTTGGTGGCAAGTTATTAAATTCACATATATGTAGAATTGTACTAAATCAACTTAGGGTATAAGTGGCAGTTGACACATAAAAAGAGTTACAGAACCAAAACATAGCTGGCTGTATGTGTCAATAAAATACCATGAGATTACACGTGAGTGGAAATATTCTAATTGCATCAATTAGCTTAATTTAACCAATCAGTTTTGTTAATTACACAAGTTCAGGGCCATGAACACGCTCTGCTGTGCGTGATATGCATGAGTTCTATAAAGAAAATCATAGTAAACTTTTAAGTCAGACTACCATTAGATTCCAGAGAGGTTCCATCTGAGTCCTAGACAGCCGCGAGGCTGGCTAGGGTTGAGAAACGGTTTTAGCTTGTATTGTAATCTGTGTTTGTATGCATGTATTCGGCTATGCGAACTGTGGCATTGTTATTCCTGGTAAGACAAACGTCTTAAGAAAACTGTAGAAGTAAATACACAACGTGAAGCAGAAGTAAAGACAGCTAGAGACAAATTCTAGACGATCACAAGGCTACAGAGATATGTACATGTAGTAAGAAAAGATGCATGGGTCGTACGTAGGATGTGGCGACCGGTTTTCCCACGTCTGCTCTCCACGTCAGACAGAAGGTCCATGGTGCTACACGAACCCGTCTACACTTCACCTGTCCTATTTCTAAAAGAAAATGTAAATCTTAATATACAGTTGAATGATAAAAAAGGGTATATTTTCTTGTTCACATTTTAATGGCCAATCTTCATTTTAGAAGAAATCGAAATATGAAATGTATGGTAGCTCTTTTTTAACTCATTGGTGCGTTATGTGTAATGTCTTGGTAACGTAATGCACGACAACTAACATTTTGGTACGAGTGACAGTTTACAGGGAATGAGCTTTTTTTGCGTTTACTTATCTTATGCCACCATTTAGACACGTTTCAAGATAAATCACTAAAATTCTGTAAATAAAACCGATCTTTTATATACATTTAATGTCCTATACTAAACCCAACCGAAAAAGAACTCCCTCCCTCTGTCATATACGTTGTCTACTTTGAATGAAATCTGTCACTTTGGCGGTATTGCTACTTCGGGGTAGGGAATCGGCGGTTTGTGTAACTTAAACACACTTGTTCATGGTTTGGTAGGGCAACCCAAAAAGTCTGATTCTTAGTCAAAACCACTTAAATGGGAATTGTGTAAGATTTAAATAAAGAGCTGGCCGGTCTCTCTATAATATTTCAAAAATAGGCTAAATAATGCAAAATGAATAATACCGAAAATTTCATTCAGATTACTTTATTTTTAGCGAAGTTATTAACAGTCGTAGTTTTAACAAGATGTGTGCCTTGATCGTAACCAGCGTACTGGTCATTCGAGTCGTAGCCTCGCTTCTCCAGTTTTAAATTAAATTATTAATTCAAATCAGGGCCATCCGATGGCATCGAGAGTTGATTATGGTCTTTTCATGGTAATAAATGTCTAAAGAAAGAAAGACCCGCAATAGGCAGATTTACCTCTTACACAATGCCTGTTTAAAGATGGGTTCCCAGAAAAGTATTTATCGGGTGGTTATTTCCAATAAAAGTATGGCAATTTTGGTATATATGGAAAGTAGAGGTATCCAATTTTACGAGAAAAAAACTGGATTCACCGAAAAAAACTCATGGAGCGTATACAGGACAAAAATGTAAGGGTTCCCCTAATCGACAGCCCGACGATTAGGAATTTCTTCACGCGTGATGTCAAGGGTCACACGTGAACATTGAGCGCTTGATGTACAAGTTGATAAACTTTATGAAGAGTTAAACGTACAACACTTTCTGAGATAAAAATGACGAAAAAAGAATCGGGTAGTGGATAATCCTAGAATTTAATTAGGATTCGATATTTGTAATAAATATTAGGCGATTAAAGACAACATCGTCTTATGTATGCAATGAATTCTCCTCTGACTTCCAAGAGAGGTAAGTCACGTGACGTAAACATGACCTGGTTTGATCGAATTTTTATAGCAGAGCATTCCTTTGCAATTACAATGTTTGAGAAGGATTTGAAGCAAAATTGTGACAAATTAATTAGTTTGAATATGTTTTTAGTCCATATATACCATTAAATCACCCACTTTGTACGCGGGAATGTATCTTTAAAGTATGTTTTGCATGGCTAGCACAGTATTAATACTTGTTCAAGTAAAGTTGCTGATGCCCATGGGGCTATGATGATAAGGATAACTGAAAGGAGAGTTCTATAGGTGTGTTTTGAAAAATAATTAGTATAGAGTGTTGCAAATTTTGTTGGTAACAATCGCTTGACTTAGTATGCAAGAATGTCCACATCAGGGTGTTCTACCCACAAACTTTAATTAAAGAATTTGAATAAACATATTTGTTGGCTATGACGTGGGATGGTACTTATTCAGTTTTGTTTCAATGAAGGATTGACTCGGAGAAGGTCCTACAAAGCAAACTGGCAAATTTGCCAAAAAAAGGTAAAAAAAAAGAAAACTTAAAATTTTCTTGCCACTTTCAAGCGGTTTTAGAAACGAAACCGAAAATATATTCCCATTTTGCTCCTCAGGGTGCCCTTGTCCCACGGCAGTCGAGTCATGCCGTTGGCTTCCCACCAATTTCAAGTCCGGCGGTCTCAATTAGAGCAGAGTTCAGCTATGTCAGATCGGAATAGGCCTAAGCGTCACCCCAAAGCATTTTTGTTATACTTCGCACAATCGCTTATGGTTATTACATGAAAACGCTTCATATGTACAAAATATTACCATCACATATAGCTTAAATTTCAATGTGTCTTTATACTTTTTGATTGGAAGGTGGGGCGGGGCGGGGGGTGGGGGAGGGGGCAGTTTTACTCCAAAAACTCTAGCCTTTTTCAAGTCTCTTTATACCACGTGCTGGAAATATTATTTTGTGGAAGGTTCATGAATAGCTAACTAAATTAAATCTACTTTTACGTTCGGATTTTCAACTTTAACTAAGAACTTCGTGCGAAGTAGAAAGTTCTTAAATGTATAATTATAATTCAGCTCCCGGGATCGTACCCAGTAGATTCCAATTCACACTAATCACACACAATGAGGGGCCTCTGCTTGCTACACGATAACCTTTCAAATCCTTCATATACTGTAGAGTTAAATAAACGTTGAATATAATGTCTTTGTTTTGTCATGTTTGGGTGTATAAAATATAACCCGTTCTGTTGACGAATAACACTAAATTCAGGTGTCAACTGCTGTGTTTGCAGAAATTGTGCATGTTTTAATTAATCAACTGTCTTTTTAATTACCATTCTTTAAAGCAGGTTTTAACGAAACAAGATTATTCATTTCCCACAGCTGCGTTGATGACAACATCTGAAGACCTCTCCACCCTCTTACCCCAACCCACCCATCTGACAAAAATTGTCAAGTTTGTTAGGCATATGTGCATTTGTCTTAATTAACGGCCATGTGAACGCCATGAATTTAAAGAAGAAAATTATGATTATAATTATTGATAATAAAATCAAAATAATAATGTACATTTATGATTGCGCTCACCCCATCCATATTGCATGCTTAAAGCGCATGGAAGATAATAACTAATCCTGATGTTTTGAGTTTGGATTTAAACACAGCTAATGTTTGAGAACTTTGTGTCTTGAATGGTAAGTTATTCCACAGACGCGGTCCGCAGACACTAGAGGCTTTATCCCCACAGGATTTCAGTTTAGCTTGAGGCATAACTAATAAGCGAAGTGGTCGATTTGGTTGATATGACTGAATGAGGCCAGTGACATTTTGTAAATAAAACGGGTTTCATGTGTTTGAAAATCTCTTAGTTACACATAAGCAAGGCAAATACTTTATCTCCATTACCTAACTCCTGTAAAGCAATTCGGCGGAATATTTCTTATCCAAAACTTCCAGATAGAGCAAAGGCCTTTTCTTTGCATTTTAGCATCTGATTTGTATACATACATCCACTGGATACCCTGTGAATTATTGGAGTGTTCCTTTAATGCCATCGCCATGTTTGCATATAGATCAATTTTGACAAATAACCATCTAAATATTTGAAAAGTATGTGTTAACCGAGAATCAGTTAATATTTCATTTTCATTTATTCTAAAGAAAATAATAAGAATGGATAAAGTGTTGACAAACTGTAAAATTGTAGCAAATTAGAAGAGTCAGTTTTAATAGAAAAAAAAAATATTTTGACTTACCGTGTCCATTTGTCAACAAATCTTGTGAGATAATTTCGTCTTTAGGCGCCGGGGAGATAACCTCCGTCTCGAACCCCTCATTTACTACGCCCTGCTCTCCACTAACAGTTTCTATCTTTTCTTCATTCATTTTTACGAAGTCTATCCGAATCCAAGATAAACTGGTTCAAATCTCAAATTAAAGGGACGTAATCACTACTTTTGGTAACGGCATAAATTCTTAGTTCACACAGAAATGGAAAATACAGATTATATCAACAGCCTAAGACTTCTAAATGTTGCGTAGTAGATGAGAATAAAACACTGAAATAATTCATCCAATAAACAGTCGACACCCTAATTTTAAACAATGCATCTAATACGTAAGCCTTTTACTGTTTTCAAATAAAAGCAAAAAACTGATGGAGACATCAATGAATTATAATCTATGATTTCCGCGCTACTTTTCAGTAAAGCATATAGGTGTGTTTCCTTTAAACTGCTGTGAGTTTGTTTTCATCCCTTTTCTGTTCTTGAAGTTACGACATTATCGCGTCAATGCTGTACTAATAATATCGTTAAGGTTCAGACACACTGAACTTACCGATAAATACCATGTTATTAAAACTATAAATTAATTATAATGTGCTAAGTAATTAAAATTTAAGACACATGATCACAACTTCAAGGATGTGGCACACTTTAGGGTCATTATTGTTCTACCCTTAAAAGGAAAAACTAAAATCTTTAAAAAAAACTCCAGAAAACAAAGAATAAAAAGTATAAAAAAATCGAAAAGAATATAACAAAATGTCCCCAGGCAGATTAGCAAAGGTAGACCTAAGCTACACCAAGACGATTAACATTTTCGAAAACCGCTAAAAAAAAAAACCCCAAAAAAACCTGCAAAAATCTCACAAACACTTTTTACTGACTGAAACTCTTTAATTAATTCAACTGAAACCCTTTCGTTGATTCAACATCTACCAAAACCAGGAAATTCAGCTCCGAGTATAATGAGTAATTAATATGTCACAATAAATTCCCAATAACATAATAAACGGTCTCTGTAAAATTAAGTTTAGTCCATTTCTCAGTAAAATTATCAATCACCAAAAACTGTTCTATGAGTCTAAAAAACCGACCCCATATATTTCACAAAATATGCATTCCAGGCTAAAAGATCGTAAAAAATACAACTAATGGTATCCAAAATCAAATCCAAATATTTCAACTACCAACATTTAAAATCCTCCAAACGATACCTTGAAAGTTAGTCGCGCTAAATCATACGTGCGGGAATCAGACCATTGATTAAACACAGATAACATCTGTTATGTTCTTTAGATTATTACCCAACCATTATTAGTCAACTATTATTTGAACAGCCCTTAGAGAAAACAAGACAATTATACGATCGTGAATTTAGACATGTGCACGAACGTGTTCTACCAATGTTTAGCTCTTATTTTAGTACTGACCCCTTGATCGTCATGTTGACGAAAAGTTTCCAATCAAACAATGGTTGTGTCTTTTGTTAACAAGTCAGACATTATTTGTAGGTGTCACTTAGATAAAAAGGTTCTTTATTCTTTAGTAACATAATCTCTAAATAAATAATATAACGGGAAATTGACCTTCATGTTTTTTCCCAGTACATACAGATAACATATTGTCCATAAACGCATACGGAATAGCTTTACACAAAATTTTAAAAATGCCTTTGAATGCAGAGAATCGAGGTTTGTGGCCTATTGATTCGTTTAAACTTGTTTGTCTTCTCTTAAGTTAGTCATCACTGTTGTAATCCCGTGCGTGTCAAAATTAAGCACACAAAAACATCCCTACGTAGTCGCATATTTGGTGCTATAGCGTCTTCGGGCATCCTTGGTTGTACCTTACCAATGATTTACTGAAACATGGTTTATATATGACAAATTGCAGTGGAATGATTAACGAAATCCTCAGTAGAAAATATTCTGGTGTCGCGATTTGACTTTGTACTCGAATAGTTAGACTTGAGACTTATGCAATTATAATGCAACGCTGGGCATATTATGTACTATGTAACCCAGTTACACAAAATATCTAACAAGATGACAAAATAATAAGCAAACCATAAAACAATATGTAATCAAATAAATATTGAACTAAATGAAAGATGTATATAAACAGCCGAATTGTCGAAAAGATGTGTTATATAAATACACACGTAACTTGAACAAAAAATGGAATGAAATGAAATGGGGTTTTAACGTCATACTGTTTTGCTCCGAACAAAAAATGAAGCAGCAACATAAATCAATTATCGATTCTTAGAAATAGTTTCCGGATGAAAAAAAGGAAGGAAACAGATACTAACTGATGTTTTAAAAGCATGCACAGCAAACTGAGCCAAAACGGGAACTGATCCAGCGTTTGACATATACTCGTATGGGCAGCATTGATGCAACTTGTCTTTAAGAAAGGAACAGTCACAAGAGTATAGAACTAGTCTCCTCGTTTGGGTGACTCTATAGTGGGCCCACACACAGATCCGGTCCTTCACAGAACTGGTTGTTGTGGAGACAGTAGTTCCTTTAGGCGTTTCTTGACCTTCCATTATTCAAACTCACACCTTTTGTGGTCATTTCTGTGCTCGCTCCTTGACCTTCGCTCATTCAATTCCAAGCTCCAAACTAGCATCTTATGTCATCGTGTCTGTGCTCGCTTCTTGACCTTCGGTGATTCAAATCTAAGCTGAAAACTAACACCTTTTGTGATCGTTTCATGACCTTCGGCCATTCAAACCCCTACACCTAACTTAGCAAAGCAAATCCCTGACTTCGTCATTACAAAAGGTTATATATATATATATATATATATATATATATATATATATATATATATATTTAAACAGTAGAGCAGTATTCGATGGATATCTTCTATATCATAATTAGTAGCCTGATGAATAACAGAAACTGTGCAATATATATTTATATCACAAAAGAAAAGAGAAGAAAAATTCTTAAAAGGGTCGATTTTAATTTGTTTTGTCTTGTTCTGTTGGGGTTTTTTTTGTTTTTTTTTAAAGAGTAACAGAAGTTGCATCGTTTACAAACCTTGTTCCGGCGTTTCTAGTTCAGAGGCAATAGCCACCATCCCTAAGTTCGATTGGCTACATATTTGCATATTTCTAACTGAATCCCGCACAGGGTCAATAAATAGTTGCAGAATTGACGAATCACACTATAGGTCTATCGATAGAAAATTAAATGAATTTTGAAAATGAAGTGGGGTATAACGTCCTATTTTCACCATCTGGGTTAATAAATACTGCATACACTGAATCTCGCACAGGGTCAATAAATATATGCAGAATTGACGAATCACACTATAGGTCTATCGATAGAAAATTAAATGAATTTTGAAAATGAAATGGGGTATAACGTCCTATTTTCACCATCTGGGTTAATAAATACTGCACACACATTGCAGTGCCTTACTTAATTCGAATTCCAACTGTACACGGGACCTCGGTTTTCCGTCCCATTCGAGTGACTAGACGATGTTCCCTGCCACCGCCCTGCACCAGTCACAAGCGAAAATCACGCCGAAACCTCCTGTTTAGCGAGCTATATTATATAAGTGTCTTACTCACAGAGCCACAGCGAATTTCGCTAACATTTTCGGAAATATCATACCGTAAGCCTTGTATGCTCATTCGAGTTTTCATTATTCAAAAATAATATTTAATCATAGCTTCATTATTTCTCCAACCAAAAGAAAGTTACATTTAATGCCGAAAGAAGTTTTATGGATCGGCACCCAAAATCGTTTCTTCCGCTAGACCATACTCTTCCTTACCTGTGTCTGTATCGTTCGAGTCCATCATTCGGCAATGCTTTACTTTATTTCTTCCTCAGGCTACTAGCTCTTGGATGATGAACAAATACTCTTGTTCACACTATCATCACGTGTACCGTGATCGGGGCGAAATGGTCAAACTAGTTCTAGAATTCATAAAAAAGGGGTTATTTGGTATCGTAATGACCAGATTAAAATCAGAGGCATTATAGTATCAGATTGCAGGCGTCCATACAGGTTAGATCATGGCTGTGTATTGTGCCCTTGAGGACCCACTTCTAAGTTTACCGGGGTCGAATTAAAGGTTACGTCCTTTAAGTAAAACCTAAGTGCATATTGATTTGGTGTGTGCGTACATGAAACACTTTCGGACGGGTCAATCACTTTTGTAAATAGGTTATGTTAATAGGACAAAGCAATGGGTTAATGAGCCATCGGTACTTAGTTCATTTGACCTATCCGTTACCCGTGCCCCATGACCCTTTGTTGACCAAGAAATTTGTGTAAAATAACCATTTGAATGGGTACATTAAGACCAACTCCATACCTAAGGCATTTTCCAAAAATAATTATTTTATTTATAGAACTTCATTTGAACAAATCTGATGAAGCACAATCCAGACTACATAGTCCCCCCCGGCCAACCACTCATTCAAATGCAAGCTAGGAGCTCATGTTCCGTCTCAAAGCAGGGTGAAGAGATCTGAATTTACACCATGAAACATTGCTTTCAAAATCAGCGGCTAAGGTTCGAGGAGACGCCGAAACTGTTCTCTTATGGGAAATCTATACATATGACTTGACAAGTGTATTTAAACAATTTGCCTAACATAGGCAATCAATTCCTACCAAGTTCATCAAATTTCTTTTCGTGGAGCAGAAGTTGAACAACGAAAAGTGAAACCATAAAAGACTGAAGAAGGGCGAGCGAAAGACGAACAAAACATAGTCATTTTTCCGGTTTCACATATTTGATTTTCGCGCCATTTGCATGAAAATAGTAAAGCTATGAATTTATATCAGTCTAATAGAAAACACCGTGTACAATAAGAACAGAAACAAAACGAACCGAAATCAATCAAAGTCTGATTTTATTATCTAATTAGACTAATTAAGCTGTCTTATTTTAATTATATAAACACTTCGTTCCGGTTTGTTTCCTCATCTTCTTAATTGGGGAGCCAAGGGGGATACTCGATTGAATGTTCCGGAATTGAATTCCGTAAATCCCAAAAATAGTGACAACGCATGCGTGCACTGCACAGGAAAATATATCAACCAGAGAGAGAGAGAGAAATGGGGTTTAACGTCCACTCGACACCAACTAGGTCATTTCGGGATTAACATATGGTTTAATTTTATTTCAATAATTCGCTTGCGCATAGGGGTCTTTAGCAGTGGGAGGAAACCGGAGGACCCGGAGAAAACCCACGAGGTTGGACAGGCGACCCTACTCCTTGTCACGTACAACCGGGGATTCGAAAACACGCCAGTCGACTCAATGACAGACTTTATGATACAGCCATCAGCCATCCAACCCCCCTATATCTCAACCAACCTTGACAGCTAAAACAGTTTCGTTGTATTAATTACACCACGATTCTACACACCACCTCTGTTGTCGGAACTGGCAGAACTGTGACGGGACACTGAATTCCACGCCACCCGATTGCAATAATGTCAATTCGAGACGTTCTGGACTGACAATCGAGCATCTCCATGGATATGCAGTGAAGGTATCCGAATTAAATTCTCTCTCAATTCCAAAAATAGTGTCAATCGATTGAAAGTGAGTATTTCGGTGTACAACGCATGTGCTGACTACATAAAAAATATCTCAGTAAATCATGATAGCGAAAACATATTTGTTATTTAAAATACGTCACGATTCAACTCACAGCACCCCAGCTGTCGGGACTGGCAGATCTGTGACAGGACTGAATTCCGTATCACTTGATTGCAATTATGTCAATTCGGGACGTTCCGGACTGACAATTGAGCACCCCCACTATCTCCCCAACCAGGGCGAGTGTTGGATGCTGATGTTGACGGAAACATTCATAGGCGTACGGGCTCGATGACAGTTAGGGGGGGGGGCAGAACCCGAAATCCCCACCCCCCGAAAGAAAATTTTGTATTATTTGACGGCTGCAAACACGTTTTCCTGCTATTTCAGTCTTTGAACAAAGTGGTCTATTATAGCCTAATTAAGATGGCTGACTCGAATTCCAATCAAAAGATCAATCGTTTACAGTCCACGAAGACGGGGCCGTTAGCAGAAAATTTTGAAAATTTAACTGCCGCAAACGCGTTTTCCTGCTATTCCAGCCTCACCCTCCCGGAGAAAATTTTGAAAATTTAACCACCGCATATGCGTTTTCTGCTATTCAAGCCTGTGTAAGCAACTCCAACAGTATCCAATGGTTTTGTAACCTAAATCCCATTTTGAATTCCAACCATTCAATTAGACTGTTGCAGCTGCATTCACAAATATAATCGATGCCCGAAAAATGTC